ATGCATGCCAGACTAGTATGCTACCACTCAGCTAGCGTTTTATTTTTGTCTTCCAGTATGGTAGTAGTGTGGGTTCTCAGTCATCCCCACCAGCAACAGATCCAGGTCCTGTTCCTTCTTCTCCCAGCCAGGAGCCCCCTACCAAGCGGGAGTATGACCAGTGTCGCATACAGGTATGTTTTCTGGGCACTGTCTTGCTCCTAGAACTGGGAGTTGGCCTGTAAGGTGCCCAGCCCAACTTAAGTTCCATTTGCCAAATCTCTTCCTTCTTTGTACATGACTTTTGAAATCCTATCTCCTCTACTCTTAGGAGTGATTGAATTTCACCTGCTTGTCTTATTTAAATACATACGTCATTCTTACTCAGCAGTTACCCTTTAATTTATTCACAATGTTTTCATTAGACTCATTACACAGCTGTTTTCATAATACAGCACCTATTCTGTTTTTTAAAAATAGTTCCATCTTATCTTTTCTTGATTGTGAGGTAGCTTGGAGTCCTTTTCATCACCTATTGAAGCAGAGATACCCTGCTTCTGCCTGAGTGCTGGAATTAGTGGCATATGCCACCATTCCAGACTTTCTTTTACTTTTGGGACTGAGTCTTGCTGTACAGCCCTACTGTCCTGGAGTTCACTATGAAGATGAAGCTGACCTCAAACTTCTGGAGGTCCTCCTTCCTATTTCTTCTGTATGCTGTGATTATAAGTATTGCCATTACCTGGCCTCACCCTATTTTTTTACCCCCCCACCCCCAACTCACTTTGTAGACCAGGATGGCCTCAAACTTAGATCATCGTGCCTTTGCCTCCCAAGTGCTAGGATTAAAGTCTTGTACCACCACCCCCCGCCCTTTTTTTTTTTTTTTTTGAGACAGGATGCTCTACCTGATGCCGGCCTTGAACTTCTTTCTGCTTCCAGCCCTGGAACTTTATGTAAACCAGGATGCTCTTGAAGTTTCAGAGATCTGTCTGCACCCTTATGTACTGTAGGCATGAGCCACCCCATACCTAGTCTTCACTCAGTTTCAGTGCTCATAGTGCTTTTTGCCTTCTAGGTTAGGCTGCCTGATGGCACTTCCCTGACCCAAACGTTCCGGGCCCGGGAACAGTTGGCAGCTGTGAGGCTCTATGTGGAGCTTCACCGTGGGGAGGAACCTGGACAAGACCAGGACCCTGTGCAGTTGCTCAGTGGCTTCCCCAGAAGGGCTTTCTCAGAGGCTGACATGGAGCGGCCTCTGCAGGAACTGGGTATGTTATATGAGACCAGGAGGCAGGACTTAAGGAAAGGAATGAGGGGTAGTAGGGATAGGTAAAGAGAAGGGGCTTAGTGGACATGGTATGTGTCCAGGAATTTGAAGCCTAAATGTAAGTGTCCTTGTAACTCAAACTCTTTCTTCCATCTTTAGGACTCGTGCCTTCTGCTGTCCTCATTGTGGCCAAGAAGTGTCCTAGTTGAGGGTCCTCCATCCCACCATCCCTCTTTGACCTCTTCATCTTTGATAAAGCACTGACATTTCCTTCCTAATAAATAGACCTTTTGAGTTCTGTATATACCTGTCTCCTTCCTGGATGATTGGATAGGGCAATATGAGAAGGTAAGGGAGGGTATTTGAAGTAGGACCTCTTTCTCATCCTCAGTTTGCAGTACATTTTTCTAGAACTGATGACTACTTGGGGTGTGTATGTGTGCATTACAGGGCACCTTTTGTTCATAAGCATAAAGTGAGTGGTACATGAGGATTTTTTGTTTTGAGACAGACAATGTAGCCCTGGCTATCCCAGAGCTATATAGAACAGGCTGGGCCTCTTGTCTCTTTTTGTTTCCCAAGTGTTGGAATTAAAGGTGTGTGCCTTGATGCTGGGCTGGGGTTTAAATCCTTACTGAGGGCTGAAGAGATGGCTCAGCAGTTAAGGGCACTGGGTTCAACCCAGAGGACCTGGGTTCAACCCAGCACCCACGTGGTGGCTCACAACATTCTATAACACCAGTTCTAGGGTTTCTGACATCCTCATACATACATGTATGCAATAAAACACCAATGAACATATAACTTAAATCTTATCACTTAGGCAAGCATGGGATGACATAACAAGACCAATCTTAACACGTAGGCAAGCATGGGATGACATAACAAGACCAAACAGTAAAGAGTAAGTGATAGCCATGCCATGGTGCTTTTCTGACATTAAAATGTGTTGAATGTATGGCGTTTGAGAGGGCTGAATGGGTAAAAACACTTGCTGCGCTTGCAGAGGACCAGAGTTTGGTTCCCAGAACTCACCTCAGGCAGCTCACAGTCCCAGGGCGTCTGATGCTTTCTTCTGGCCTCTGGGTACCAGGTATGCCCGTGGTGCACATATATACATACAAGCACTCACACAGACACATAAAATTGTTTTGAGGGGCTAGAGAGATTGGCTCAGTGGTTAAATGCACTGATTGTTCTTGGAGAGGACCCGAGTTGTATTCTACCCTCTACCCACAATGATGGCTCTTAACCATTTGTAACTCTAGTTCCAAGGCAGCCAACACCTGACTTCCATGGGCACATGGTATACATACATTCATGCAGGCAAAACATTCAAACACATAAATGGGTTTTGAGACAGCGTTTCTCTGTGTTAACAGTCCTGGCTATCCTGAAACTCTCTTTGTAGACCAGGCTGGCCTTGAACTCACTGAGATCT